CGAGGTTTGACTTTTTTTTTTTATTTGAAGGTATTTTTAATACAAGTTTTTGACTAGGATGTGTTACGCTGTGCTATTTCTGACCCATGGAGGCAGAGACAGTGCCCAGCGTCGTTTTAACGAGACTAGGGTTAAGTAGATGTGTAAGAATTAGTGGCCAAGATTTAGTTCATACTTCCATCTGCCCCTGTTGAATTGACTTCTACTTGGCTTGATGAAAAGAGTATTTACTAGGTGATAGTCAAGGAAGTCAATGGATTGACTTCTACTTGGCTTGATGAAAACAGTGTTTCATAGGTGGTAGTCAATGAAGTCAATGGATTGACTTCTACTTGGCTTGATGAAAACAGTATTTACTAGGTGATAGTCAAGGAAGAAAACCAGCTGATACTATAGGAACTAACACAGTTGAAGAGAAATCAGACAATTCTACTACAATTTAATAGAATCATAATGTAAATGACATTTACTTATGACAAGCAACTAACATTTACAGGACAAAAAAGTACATATATGTCTAAACCACTTGAACCAGTTTCTGCTTTCTTGGCAGGAAGAAGCCTTTTTTTTTTTTTTTGCCTTATAATAAGTTATTGACATTTAATTCCCTTTCATTCATCTTCAAATTCTGTTTCCAAACATGGGTAATTCATACCTTGAAATGCAGCAGAAAAAAAAATCTACAAAGCTATACCAAGCTGTTCAGGAGCACTAAGGGAACAACTCCCAGCACACCTAATGCCACACCACAGGAGTTCCATGTGCATCTTAATAAAAACCATCACATGGAAATTAAAATTTTGCCTTCCAGGCTTAGAGCAAGAGGAAAATAGGGAAAGCATGAACACTAGAGTCTCAAGCTAGAACCATAAATTGGCCTATAAAATATCTTTACCTTTTTGTCACTAGTATAAGTTACAAAACCCACATGCAATTTATCCTTATTACAGAATATAATCTATTTTTTCCTCAAATAATTACCTTGAGTTCAGTATGTTCTACTTATACTTCCCATGTCTTTACTATTATTCCATAAACTTTGTGAAACATTAGGATTCCATGAAAACAGCTAAACAACATTATTGTTGTCCGTATCAGTCACTTAAGCACAATGCATCCCTGGGTGACTAAATGTACCACTCCTTAAATCACCATTTCAGGTTGCAATTCACAGAGACTAGAGTTAATTAAGTCTCTCTCCCCTCTCCTGTTTCTTTCTCCCAAGATTCAGTAAGCAAAGTGTGGCAGCAACCTAGCAATGCAAATATCCAGAGCCTTACCTGCTCCATTTGCACCAGCATTTCAGGCATTGCCTCACCCTAGAGGGGATAACCAGCCTAGGAAATTATTGCAGTTCAACTGTGCACTTGTCCCTTTGTCTGCTGTGCCTGCAGAGAGCACATGGACTGAAAGCAGCAATGGCTCAGTTGACCTCTGAAACTCAAATGCTAATCCAAGCCCTACATCACGTGCGGCTCTGAATCCTGTTAAGCTTTTGGTCTGGTCCCAGTGGTACTATTTAAGCAGCTCAGTATGAGCTTAAATTTTACTTCATAACAGCCAGCATGAGCCAGCACAGCCATTGTGTGTATAAAATTTATTCAAAGCACTGGCACTGAGTCTTACACAGCTTCCCTTTTATAGGGAACAGGAGGAGGGCTCTAATTAGGTCATGCAGGTTGAGGATTCTAACAGCTCTTCATTTTACATTTCAACCAAGCACAGCCCAGATCTTGCTACAAGACAGCAAGAGGAAGGAGCAGAGAAATTATTTATTGTTAAATTTTGTGGGTTTCAATTAAAAATATCTGTTCCACCTGACAGTAATGGTTTCCTGCAGTGAATACCTGAATCAGTTGAGCTATCAGTGTCAAGGTTTCAGTTTTTAATGTTATTTCATACATGCATGAAACTGGCCAGACTTTCATTGAAATTGACACAGAGCACTCCATTTCTCCTCTATTTCCATCTTTTACTTCTCTCTCCATCTGTTCCTCATGATTTGCCTATATTTTAGAGCTCAAAGATCACCACTGCTGTAAGGTCAGCATAATTATTGGCTGCAGTTTCCTTATTCTTGTCAATATCAGCACACTCATGATAGCTGTTAGCAAACAAGTACAAAGGAACCATAAAATCACCACCCTGTGACACCTGCCCTATTCTGCTTTACCTGGCACACTTGAAACCTGTCCTGATGCAGGACATGTCAAACACAAAAAAAATAGAGGTTCTGTTAAAAAAAAAAAAAAGTATCTTAACTCAGTGTCTCCATTTCCATGTTCTGAGTTGTGTGGAATCCTCTATTAACATTCACTTGCCCTAATCTCTCCTGAAATAAAAGGCTCAGACATGTTTTAAAAACATATTAAACTAAGGATGTTTTTCATTTTTGGCACAAAGGCTTTTCAGACTGACATTCTGGTTTGTCAACAGTGATTTTACCTGAACAGTCCCCACAGGCATGGAACAGCACAGAAGGTGTGCTACTATCACAGCCATATGTCACGCACTCACGTGACCTGGTGAGAAAAACTCATGTAACAGCTACAGAGTGTTACTCCTTCCAGTGCTTCACAGATTTCCACATCCCCTGACCAGTGGATATACACAGAGGCTGTGGAACATCAGGATTTCTGGTAAGATTGTGTTTCATCAAATGAGTCAGACTAATGCAAGTTTCCTCTACCATTTGTTTTACCTCATTTACATCTTTCAGACAAGAAAACTATCAGCTTTTTCTCCACAAGGAGAGAACTCCAGTATTAAATACTTGCAGCAACTTCCATATTACAATGTCAACACTTCAGGTGAACTGCTCTATTGAGTACCAAGGATTCTCTTAATGCTAACACCTGGAGCTAACCCTCATCCTCTGAAGTTCCAGTAATGCAGCAAATAGGCAAAGATAACATTAGCAGACAACATCTAACAGTTGCTTTCCTTGGACTTACTATATCTATTTGGTATATCTTTTCCTAGGAGTGACCAAGTCTGTTAGCTCACAGTGTCAGCACAAAGGGCAATACATTGCACATACCAAGCCTTGGGTCCTGCCTCTCTGCAGCACCTGTGTGCAGGAATCACTACCTGTCACTGCACTTCAGTATTTACTTCTCTATTAAAAGAAACTCACAGGAAATGAGAGGAGAAAAGAATTGCAGGTTACAGGTGTGATAGAGTTCAGCTAAATAATTTCCCTAAGACTAGAGAATATGTAGTTTTGGAGGCAAAACTGACATTGGGCTTTGTTACAAAGACAAGACTAGAACAAAGAGCATTAGGTCAGTCACATTGCAATTTAGTTTGGGCTTTTGTCCCTGGTTTGCAAAGAAAACAGACAAATTCTTTTATCTAAAATTTTTATTGTGCTAAAATGTTCTTAATCTTAGATGCAGTTAAACAGATTGTTTGCCCCTTGCCACAATTCAAGTCTGTAGAAGGCACATGTGGTACAGTGGGTATTGTCCACCCAGCTGAAACAAGTTCTGTTGTTATTCCTCATCACTGTAGCACTGATCAATTACAACAGCTGGCTACAAAGATTTTATGGCAGTTCAATAGAGCAGTGAGCACAGCATTCCTAACAGACACTGCTCTCTTAAGAAACTGAACCACAGCATGCAAACATTTAGGTAAATGCAGTCCATTTGACTTTGACCTGAAAATCTTCTGAACACAAACAAGTGCAATACCCAACCCCAGGATATCAATTAGCATGACCTGAATATAGATCCCATTGAGAATATCAAAAGGAAACGTACAGCCCCATTTTCTACATGAGTTCTAGACTATGTAGGCTACAGAGGGAAAAGGGTCTCTTGGCAGTATTGCTGCCATTGGCATTGAAGCAAACACAAACAGCACAATTAATTTAACATAAAACTGTATACACGAGAGAGATGCAAAAAAACCCCACCCCAAACTCTTGAAATCGGATTTAATTTGCAATCTTATTCTCTAGTGCTTATTCATCTTTTCCAAACCTAAGCTCCTCTGTCCAAAACAAACTGAGCAGCTTCAGCACACCAAAAAATGAGAACAGTGAACACCTTTCAGAGTTTGAGTGCAGTACCAGGAGTCAGAAACATACAGTCACCTTTGGCTTCTCAGCAGAAGTATAACCAAGCATAGTGTTTCTAAAAATATATAATTTTAGAGCATTTCTGCAGTGCTTATATTATACACAGCATCCAAGTTCACCCTGAAGCAGCAGTCTGTTGAAGTCTTCTGTAGCACACAAATTTATTGGTGATGTATTTTTCTCTTCATGCAGAGATTACATTCTGGTTTTATTACCTGCAATAGAAGAGTGTTACTAAATTAGTGTTTTTCACTACTGCTCCCACCACATTGAGTAATTACTTGTCTGCTGCAGGGTAGAAGACACTGACAGGCAAGCTGGGATTTCAGACCCTCAAGTGAAGGTCTGGTTCCCACACTGCTTCCCTTAGGGCACTCCTATGCTCTCTCCATCTTGCTCTCCACATCTATCTGCAGGCCTTTTGCAGTGGGATAAGGTCCTGCCAGGTAGCAGCTAAAGAACCAAAGGACAATACTCTAGCTGAGCCACTTGTACCCCCCACCCCTGCCTGTCACCTCATCAGCTGCACTCTGTGAGCTGGGTGACAGAGAGACAATGGCTCTGATGTCTGACCTGGTACACCACCAGCTCAGGTCAGGCTGTAAGGACCTGGGCTGGAAAGGACAATAGCAAACCACACTGGGAGAGCCCCATTGATGCAGCCTCCAATGTCTGCTGTGAAACACAAGGGGTGCCATGCTCCTTTCTTCCCCCCAAATACAGACTATGCATGACTATCATACCTTCTTTGGAGTTCAGAGGTACAAACACAAGGCTACACTGATATCTAAACTTGCCTTCTTTCAGAGGGGTTTTTGGAGGAATGTTTTCCTTGCTACCATGCTGGAAAGCTTTGGAAGGATCAAAATGCTTAATGCCCTGTATTGCACACAGTTGCTTCTCAAGGTGTCTCTTGGTTTCCTTTTCCTTTACTAGCAATCCACGCAGCTTGGACACATCCTAGAGAAAACATAATACTTGGAGGTTAGATAAACAACGGGAGAAGAGCCACCATCATTTGCTGAAGGAGCCACGTTGCCTAGTGCTAAGCATACATACCAAGTTATTGGTGGCATTAAAAACCCAACCCAAGCACAGAGATGCAGAGAAACAAGCAGCACTGTGCAGTTGCTGTACAACATCACTAAGCTGTACTGTAGCCTGAATCTTCCAGGTGCTGCTTTCAGCACATCATTTACTAAGTCTGAAACCTCCAAAAGAGGTGAGAAAAGTCAATCAAGCTAAGGGTAGAAGTAGTTGTTTGCACTGTATGTTATACATTCAGTCAAAACTAAAACAGGTTCACTCTTTCTGGAGTGAACCCTCTGGCTGAGGGTTTGCTCTAATCTGGCTCATGCAGGAAATTTAAGAACCATAGAAATTAAGTAGCTTGCAGGATTAGTCTGTAAATATTTAGAGCAACAAACAAAACAACCAAGCACATTTATAAATTGCAGATTTCTAGCTTTTTCATATCACAAACCTGCTTCAGTTGGGTATTCTCTTCCTTCAGCTTCATAACATGTTTGATTTTTTGCTTCTGGTTCTGGTGGCCAAGTAGCTTCGCATATGCATTGCTTAGTTTAGTCAGTTCCTCCTGGGCTGCACTATGCTCATTCAGGAGTGCATTCTTCTCTGCTTCAAATGCATCTAGTTGTTGCTGAAATACATATTGAATCTCTTAAGACATCTTTAAACTAAACATAGCTTCTTCCTGAACTGAACTCTACCCAGGAAGATTGGGTTGGGAAGGGGAATAGCTGGCTCAGTGGAAAGTAACTTAGGAAACCACTGCAGGATAAATGCCTTGGAAGGGGAAACATGTTTACTTCTCAGGAGAACTCCAGTCAACTGCACAAGTCTTAAGTCAACAGATACTAACAAACAGCCACTCCATACCACACCTGAAAAGGCTTAGTTTTGTTGTGTAACTCTTCATATCGATTGCGCCAGGTCTTTATCTCTTCTTTTAAACTACAGGTCATGTCTTCATCCATGGTTTTCCTAAAAAGCAAGAAGTGGAGTTTCATTATGTTCGTGATTAGGTCAGCATTTCTTCCCACTAAAACATGGATGTGCAGGTTTAGTTTGAGAAAGTCACCTTGATCTTTCTGCCTCAAGTTGTCTTCTCAGATCTTCAGTTTTCTCTTCCAGGTCTTCCTGAAGTTTAGTCACTTGTGCAAGACAAGACTCTCTTGTTCTCTCAGTTTCTGCTTCTTTTAGTGCAAGCTTGGTCTGGACTTCTAAAATCATCCTGAGGAAAATATCATACATCCTTAATGAACCCTTAAATCTATTCTTTTACACTACTCTTAATCTGAAAACATAAGTAACCATGACTGGAAAGCTGTTAGTAGATGAACTGAAATAAAAGTTTGCACAAATAGTACCAGAGAGAGAACAATGCTACAAGAAAGCAATCAAGGTTAAGGAGTACCATGCTTTTTAACTTGTCCTATGAGAAAGCAAGCAGAGCTTTAGAAACAAGGAAAGACCATGCTTCTCATTCATGGCTGTTCAAATGCCAGCAGCTTTTAGCAGAGATAGCTTAGTGGTTAGACTGTACATGCAGAGATTTGTCTAAACAGAAGCTCAAGACTGTTCAGTGTGGATGTACTCTAGATTTCAAAACCCCTGCATCCAAAAGCATTGCCTCTCCTCTTCAACATCAGTTGTTTGTTCCATCAACTAGGAGGAGGCTAAGAAGCCCTTACCACACTCAAGCAGAAAATCAAACCAGGAAATAACTGCAGTTTTTATTTTACTAGCTCTAATGGAAACTGGAGGCAATAAGCAGCAGGCGGGGAGGGAAAAAATGGAAAAAAAAAATCTTAACCAGCACAGGTGTTTTAAGACAGAGAACATCAAGCACTAAACTGCTGTTAGACACTCAGAGAAGCAAGGGAGGAAAAAAAGGGAAAAAAAAAATCTTAACCAGCACAGGTGTTTTAAGACATAGAGAACATCAAGCACTAAACTGCTGTTAGACACTCAGAGAAGCATATCCTCAGCTACTGGCCTGACACAAGCTCTTGGGTGTTATTTCTCATCAGCTGCACTGTGATGCCTCATATCAGGCAGAGAGAAGACCTTGGGTTACATCACCACAGTGTGGCAATTCATGGACATTTAATTGGCACCTGCTTATGAGCAGAATTTGAGTTGACAGAGCAGAGCAGCAAAGAGTGAGCTCTGCATTAAGTATTTGTTCGTCTCCCCTGTGGGTCTTAGTCACTGTAACTAGTATTTCTGAGAAAGACAATATTCCAAAATATTTCGTTCAAGTATTTTCCTTTTCCTCTATGTTCCACATATAAGCAAGAGTCTAAACTACTGATTGAACAGACCAGTTTCCTAAAGCATGTAAGTGTAATAAATTCTGCCAGTATTTTCAACTCTCCGCACTGGGAAAAGGAAGAAACTCCAGCTTACACCAAATGCTGATGGTATCTGGTAGAGTAATCACATTAAAATCTAGCTGGAAAGACAAGCCTTAGCCTTCTTAAGCTTAAGCAAGACTTTGTATGTATAGTACCTTGCACATTCTTCTTTTGCTTTGTTTTTAGTGTATTCTGCTTCCTGAAGCAGCTGTAGATTCTCTTGGCCTACTTTTTTTAGGTTGGCAATTTCTTCTTGCAGAGAGGAGTTCTCCAGTTTCAGACTGCCTATTTCCTCACCTGTTGTCTTCTTGTAGCTGGTATTACAGTGCAAGTAAGAAAAAATCTTGTTACTTCAGGCAAAACACAGACTGATTTGTTCAGGCCTTACAAGAGCAATACAAGTTCACACTAACAAGTACTGAAGATTTTATAATCTGAAGATATGGCAATGTTCTGGCACCAAAGCACAGTTCCATAATGCCACAAGCACTAACACTACAACTAATTCTGTCATACAGATATTTTCATGGTTTTTGTAGGCATTTTAAAAACACACAAGACCTATTATACCTGAGGCTTACACCAAAAGACCTCCTGTCTGCAGTTTGCATGGGCAAATATTCCACTGGATCCTGCATGGGTGCCATGCATACCTAGCAACAGCAGTATCACTTTCTACATACTTCCACAACCTGAATATTTTGAGACAAAAGATTTGCAAGAACTGTAGGAAGCTAAATCTCAGCTCAGGGCAAGTTTCAAGCCTAAACAGGAAGTCTTTTTGCAAGAGATCTTAGTGCAAAGAGAACACCATCACTAGTCACAACCTTGTGATTCCAGAGCACTTAACTACTCTAACTGGTTACATTTTGGAAGAACATCCAGTTTCCTGAGCTAGACACTGAGTATGTTGTTACACTTGCCTAGTACTCGGGGAATAAATTCTTCATGCCATTAAATACTCCATCACAAAATCCTCTGCTCCAGTGCCTACCAACACTCACATGCAGTGTGAAGTACCAAGGCACACGAATGAACAGTATGTTTTATTGCAGTCTTAGAGATAATACCTGACCTATGTCTTAATGAAACTTAAATACCTTTCAAATGCAGCAACAGTCTGTCCAAGTTTCTGCAATGTATTGCTAAGCTCTTCTTGGATTTGCAGAACAGCACTGCTATGCACTTCATTGATTTGCTTCAACTCAGCATTCTTCCTGAAATAAAAATTCAGCATTCACACTGAAGAGAAGTGTCTGAGCACATTACCAAGTGCTGCTACCAGTTATAGGAGGCTGCAGTGGCAGCAGTAAATTAGTTGTGACAAACCAGTCACTGCTCATGTACTAAAGCCCAATCTTCACAGCACATGTAACTAAGCATTTCCCCATCACCTTATTTTCCAAGGCAGCTACAGAATAGACAGAAGTTTGCTATTATATGTTCAAATACTTGAAAGGAAGAAAAAACTGGCTTGAAAACCTTTTCTAGTCACTGCCCTCTTCAGGGCAGAAACATCCTACATACCAATGCACGTGGCTTACCCTGCACAGCAAGGTCACAGCACCACAACACACCCAAGGCATTTCAAGCAAATCCCAACAAGCTAACTAAGTCGTTTATAATTAAGGCAATGTAAAACTGATTCAAGTTACTATTACTGCTATTGATTAGATCTAATCACTATCAATAATCAATAACCAGCAAGAAATAACTTTAGATCTGCTCAGGTCTCTTAAACCTGAACTAGGCTCAGAAGCTTTGTTTGTACTACTGATTTAACATTTTTCCTTTCAAAATTTTAGAACGACAAAGTTTATTTCACAAACCCTTTCAGCTTCTCTTCCATCTGTGCAAGTTGAAGACCTTGAGATTTGATTTCTTCTTCCAATCGCTTCACCAACTTCTCAGCTTTCTTCTCCTTGGTGTGTAACATAGTCAGTTCATTCATGGTAGCATTCAGCTCTTCCTCAAGAAGTCGTCTCTCATTTGTTACCTCCTCTTGAAACTCCAGTAACTTCTGGTGCATTGATGCAGATGACTCCTGCATGCCAGAGTATCACAGCTTTTAAAACCACCAGTAGTTTTCTACGTATTACAGGCTAATTTGCAGTGTTCATCCTTTACAGCACTAAAACAAGGTCAAATTTACAAGCAGAACCAGTACACCCATTGTACCATGATTGTTAGAGCTCCTGTACCACAGTTTCTGCTGACCAAAACCCACTTGCACATTGCTCAGATTAGAGCATTATTGGCAGGGCTACCTCATGCATAACCAAACCCAGAACCATTAGTGCTAGTCCTTGGGATTAGAGTCTGTTTTCAGACCAATTTGTAGTCCGTGTTTACCTTCTCTTGCTGCAGCTGAGAGACAACCTCTTCATGTTTCTGAAGCAGTTTTTGGTGTTCTTGTTCCTCCAAAACAATTTGATATTTCAGGTCTTCTATTTCAGCATTCACACTCAGGAGTTTTCCTCTGATCTCAGACAACTGTCTCTCTGCATAGAGAGATGTCAGTATTACACAAATTCCCTCCTCCATCTTCCAGAACTACAATATCTATTCTTTACAGAACTTCCTTTCCAGCTTTAAAGTTAGTTAGGGCAAGGGACAAACAAACAAACAACATACAAAAGACCACACTACACAAATCCACATCTTTAACTCATATGGAAACTCCTCAAAATTGGCTTAAATTACACCACTTCAAAACAATTATAACAGCAGGA